TTCCATACATCGCTACATAAGCGATCACGTTTTTCACCGGAGTCCACAACGCCTTTTTAATTAAATTGATTAGGATAATACAAATCACAAACCAAAATTATAATCTAAAAAAGAAAAGACTGTGTTTTTAATCCAAAAGAAAAGAAAAGAACAACCTAGGCAGGATAACAAAGAAATACTGAAAACTTAAATCTAAAATCAACCCATCACTCAACAACACATAAAATCCCGAAATTCAACAGCAAACACAAATTATTATAATGAAATTAAGAATAAAAATTATGCAATAAAAAAAATGAGTTGAAGGATGTAATGAAATGAAAAATACCGGAGCAGGTTTTTCGGGTGGAGAGTTTGTAGATGAGGACCAAAATACCAGCAAAATGGATGGCCTCAGAGGCGACGAAGAAGTGGTTGTGGTCGTGAATCAGAAGCTTCAGCGCCACCAGAGCGCACAGACAAAGCGCCGCCGCCAAGAAAGCGTTGACCTTCGCCGACTGCCGCCGGACCCATGCAAACATCTTGTTCAGCGGCGCGTAATTCCTCTTCTTCCCCATTAATTAATTAATTACCCAAATGAAAGAAATAAACAAACAGCTACTGTGAAGAAAATTGAAGATAGTATATCTAAAAATATTAAAATATGAGAAAATCGAAGAGGAGGAGGAGTTGGTTAGCAGGTGACACGAATAGGGCATGCAATGGGGGAAGTTGGGACGCTGTCAATAAATTGAGGGTTTCTCTCTCTCTCTCTTCACTCTCTCTCTCTGGTTTCTACAAACCTCCCTTGGGGGTGGGGGTGGGGGTTGGGGGTTGGGGTTGGGGGTGGGGGTTGGGGTGGGGTGGTTTGGGGGTGGGTAAGGGGGTGGCAAGTTTCGCCGTTTGGTTTGAGCATGCGGGGGGATGGAAACGCCGTAACGGACATTTAATGCGTAGTTAGGCAGTTGATTCCGACATTTATTTTACGGACACGATTACGATTATACATACCACTACTATTCTTGATTTTGCGTAGACTTTAAATAATAATATTTCCCTTAAAAATGTCATTTTTTTATATGAAAAAAGAAAATTTTAATCCTATTAATTATATATATTTAAGTTTGCATTTTATCTCCTAGTTGCCTTGAGTTCAAATCTACTTGCCAATGTTTTCTAAGTCGACTATGTCAACATATTTCATATGATTTACAAATTATTGTACGAGAATTTGTGTTTTTATTGTGCATTGTAGAAAAAAAAATGTTGCATTTTGATGGCAAGACCTGAGGGGGTGATTTTAAATTTCTTATAAAATTAAATTTATCGAAGTGTTCAAATCGATTTCAGGATGAATTTCAACTTCATTTGAATTTGGATTCATTAATCAAAAGGATTATAACAAGTTGTTCATCAGTAAATGTGCATAAAATTATTGAGGAATAAATGTATTGTTTGAAATATCTAGGTAGAGCTGCCAAACTAATAAGTTTAAAATGATAATTTAAATTATTTAAAAAAACAATATTAAGGTCAAATCCAATAATTAATTTCATACAAGAAAAATAAAATGGTTCAACACTAAAATACCCACTCTATTATTCTAGCTGCATTCACTTTAATTGATCCCATCTAGTACCAAAATTGTTTAATTTACAAAAAACCACCTTGAAAATTAGCTAATTCATTTACAATAATCTCCCCTATAATGGACAATAACTTCTAGAAACCTCCAAGACCAAAACTCTTTCCCCAAATTTTCATAGCAACTGCAATTCGAAACGAGCAGAGATCTTCGTTGACATAAGAATATTTTCATCGACGTTTAAAAAAACCGAGTAACTATCAAAATGCATAAGGGAGTTTCAATAAAGGAAGATAGTCAAGAAAATGATAACTACATTTTACCTTCATAAGAAAGGATTTTATGCGTTCACTTTCTCCAGCTGTTGTGCCGTATGAGGTTTCTCTTGCCTGTTCCTGAAGAATAACTACGATCAAGTTATCGTCTCGTGATTGATTGATTTTGAGCATTTGATTTTTATTTTTTTTTCGTTTTTTAGAGAACAAACCCGAGTATCCACAATAGAGTATCGAGCCTTTTACTGAAGATTTCCTATCCGATAATTGCAACTACTAATAGAAATAAACATATTTCACATCCGAAACATCGTGCACTGATGTGAAACATCACACTGGTCACTGAAGTAGCAAAAAGGAATACAACAATTTAAATGACTTACTTCTCCTGTAATTTGATAATCGACAATGGCCGCTGATAACCATCTTCTTTCTCTTGAGGATTTGATTTTCTAGCAGTTCTTGATTCAGGTTTCCAACAAGCCTTGATGAGTGACTCACCCAATAACTCGGCAATATCAGTAGCCATAGTCTCAGCCTTCTTAACAAACGGAAAACTCTCCTCTTCAAAGTGATTCGACAGCCACAAATACATCGACAAAACTTGATGCCTAGTCTCGAGATCCAAAAGCTCCGAATCATTTCTAGCAGCACATTTAGGCATGCCCATAGCTATATTCACCGGAAGCTTCTGCGAATAAATCGAAGCGAACTTCAAGAGATGGTACATTGCTTTAGGGTCCCTTATATTAACCGGTGCAAAGCAGAAATTGAAACGGTCTTCTAAAGATAACCCTTCAATCCTATCCAACATATTCGCAATTTTTCTTATATGCAAATGCTGGCACAGAAAATAAGCCCCGTCCAGCTTGCAATTCTCGCTGAATTTTTCAAGAAGTTTCGGGAATTTCATATCTGGGATTTGTCCGGCGAATAATTCGACTTGCTCAAAGTAAGGGAAAAGTCCCACTCTCTTAACTTCATCAAATGGCTTCTTTAAGCACTCGATTAAGTAGTCCAAATCTTCCAAGTGTAGTGTGGTGGTGAGTCCATCTGGATAGACACTTCCTCTTCGACCGGCTCTCCCAGCTATCTGCTTTACCTGAGAAGGTGGGACTGGAACCATTTTGTCCCCATTATACTTCGAGAGATTAAAGAAAACAATTCTTCGAATATTTAGATTCAATCCCATTCCCACAGCATCACTCGCAACCAACACATCGAACTCGTTATCTTGCGAGTTGAACAGAGAAGCTTGCTGCCGACGTGTCTCTGGCGGCAATGCACCGTATATCACACAGCAGCGGTGCTTTGTAAACTTCTCGATCGCTAATTTAACCTCGAATATTTCCCTCCTTGAAAATGCAACTATACAATCTCCCGACCGAACGTTTTTCAAATCTCCCAAGAGTGACTTTGCCTCCACAACAAGAGGCTTAAACCTCTCGTAATGCTGCTCCACGAGTTCATCTCCAGTGTCGGAACAAATCTGCCTAACTATTTCAAGAACACTCGGATCGCCACATAAGTGTATTTCATCAGCTTTTAGACCGAGCAATGCTCTAGTCCATGCATAACCTCTGCAAGAATCGGCCATCATCTGAATTTCATCTATAACCGCCACATCGTACAGCTCGTCTGTCGACACCATTTCGACAGTACACGCGACGTGGTTCGAGAAGGGAAACTCCTTCTTCTCCTGCCCTGTAAGAAGACTGCAATAAACCCCCGATGCATTCACCTTATCGAAAACCTCCATGGCTAACAACCTGAGAGGGCTACAGTACACGCCTTTTTTTGCTTCCATAAACCTCTGCAGTGCATTGTATGTTTTCCCACTGTTAGTCGGACCACAATGATAAACAATCTTCCTCTTCATTGCTCTAGCAAATGGGAACCAAGTGTGAGGCTTGGTCATGTCAGCCGAATCCACCATTTTCCGGAACCTCTTGATTTCGTCGGGGAATTTTTCCATGCAATACTCAACGAAAATTGGGAACAAGAACGTATCAGCTTCATTGCCAGGCCCAAGAGATACCAAGTACTTAGCTAAATCATTGTTGCACTTCTTGGAGAAAAAGCTGCCAAAATTACGTGCTGCAAAAGGGAAAAACGAGGCACCGATATAAACTGCAAGAGCCTGGTTTGAAGCCCAACCAGACCTGGTAAAACAACTCATAATCTCGTGCAGGGTTTCGCAATCGCTGATGGATTTGTCTTCACTATTCAGACCTTCCTTGAGTTCTTTATATATTTCCAAGGGGTCACGATTTGCTATTCGGGAAAGATTCAGTTTTTCTTCTTCTGACAGTATGCTTTCGGGTTGAGGCTCGAGTATTGTTTCTTCTTCTTCAACTTTACTGAGTTCTGGTGAATCTAAATTGGGGTTTTCATTTTCCGACAAGGAGCATAACCAGTGTCTATGAAAATTAGGGAAAACGCCTAATTTTGTCGATTGAAACGGCGGCAACTGGAATTGATTAGGGATTTGCGGCGGAGGGGAAGGGCGAAATGGGGATTTTGAAGGATGGGAATAATGGAGGAAACGACTGGAAATTAAACTCCTAAATGTAAAGAGATTGATGTTCTTACAGGAATATAGGGCAAACACGCGCTTCGCCGGACCTCTTGCCATTGTTAGAGGAGAAGCAACGAATATCAAAGATTGAAATTATTTGTTCCAATTAAATAACGGAGTAAAAGAGAAAGTGACCTATAACACCACAATTCGTCACAAAAAGGAGGTGAAATTTCTGATGCTCCGACGTCGTTTCACGAAGCAGCGGTGGTCGGTGGTGGAGAAAAATTGAGCCCTGCTATTTTAGGGGAATATTCTTTTCCTGAAAACTCCGGGATTGCTAAAAATGGCAACGACAGAGAAATGAAGGCGAAGCTTTGTGTGACTGTGTGAGAGAGAAAATGGAGGGTGGGAGTGTAATTGAAGCGGTTAAAACCCTAAACCCTTGTGACAATTTGAAAATTAAAAATTATATTGCTTTGCAGGAAAATTAAAAATAAATAAATAAATAAATTATAGCAATCCCCTACTTATTACCGTGTTTAACCTCGTTGCACTCCTATCGTTCAAGTTTCGTTTACATTTAGCTGCATAAAACTAGCCAAAAGTGATTTACGAGCTAAAACTACGTACTTGTTTAGATTATAGTAAGATCTAATTGATTTTATGAATTCGAATAGTTTGCTTTTTGTTGTTATTTAATACTTATTTTGTTTTACAAATTTTTTTAATAAATATTTTACAAATCGACTATAAATCAAATCGAGTTTTGGATCTTGTTTAAATAAATAAGTAAATTTTCAAATATAATTTGTGGATTGAAAGTTTAAGTGTAGTCATGGTCTTTATGGGTCAAGGCCCAATTGAACCAAATACATTTAAAGATTTAAGAGCTTTAATTTATGTTAAGCCCAGATGTATATTTACGAATTTATTTCTCGCAATGTTTTTTTTACTATTTCGAGATTACACAATATTGTTTTTTGCAGTTTACACTCATCAAAACTCGGTGATAAATAAAACATCATTCCACTTTTCAAAGGTTAATGTTAAATTGCACATACAGACATGCTTAAAATCAAATCAAGATAGTCAATATTCGATTCAAGAACGTCCGTTAAAAGCTCGTTTGAGCTTTTTTTTTTTATAATTAAAGCTCGTTTGAGCTTGATTTGCTAACACAATAAACAAAAATTGAACACACATTTTTATTGGATAAGCTATAAAATTCATGTATGTGTGCAATGATCAATATCATTTTTTTAATAATCCGGATCAGGCAATTTAAGTTTTAAATAGTAGCCATTAATATTATTGCAGTCATGTGTTTCTAGGGCAATATTAGCACTAGGTTAGATAGGTTTACTATATAAATCTGACAATTTATTTTGACTAAAGTAACACAAAATTTACTGAATAAGGCTAAAGTGGTCTTTATTATTACAGACTGCAAGGAAAGTATTTTCATTGTTATGCCTAAATATCTTTAATTAATTTAGGAAATTTGTAATAAATGTCAGTGATGTGATTTTTACAGAGATAAATGATTTTCAAGATTTTCCATATCTACCCTTGCTCAGTACCTACCCTCTAATCTCAGTTCCTATACATTTATTGCTTGTCAAGAAGATGATTAAGATTAATTAGTTATTAATTAAAACATTATCTTTAAACTAATGGTAATATCATTACACATTCATTGTACTTTTTTATTTTAATTAAAAAAATGTATCTTTTTTACTTGAGATAAAATATAGATTATAGATAATCAATAAATAGATTAATTTGGTCCTAAATCCTAATAGTAAGCGATGTATACTATGGTGATATATTTATCGTGTTAATCGATGCTTGTGAGTTCATAAAACTGGTGAAATCCATTATATAATTTCACGGTATTGATCTGCATATTATAATACACATTTATGTATATGTGTGTTTAGTGGATAGTTATTTACGCAAATATACAATTATCAAAAAAAAATTTACGCAAATATACAGGATAAAAACCACGTGATTATTTCAATAAGATATACAATCTCACAAGCCTCGAGAAACACATCACCCTAGTGTATATCGTTACGATTAGGACTAAATCAATTTATTTATTATTCCTAAGTTAAGAGTAAAACAAATGTTGATGCTAATCACTAATTTATAATCTTTAAAACATTCTAAAGATTTATATCTACAAAAAAAATAATATATTAATTGGATATACAGTCACAACTCACAACCATTACATTTTGTTATATAAATTATATCCCTATATAAATTATATATATGCTATTATTTAATTAAAATAGGAGAATATATAATTATATATATGTAAAATCATTAAAAAAAAAATCTAAATTAATTAATTAGATAAATGTGAGAATTAAATTAAATCTGATTCATCTCAACAGATTCATCACACTTGTTATTGTTCTTCATATTCTTAACAAACATTCCATACAAATAAGAACAAAACCCCCACACACACAGCACGGTGGAAACCGCCTTAACGCCGCCGAACGCATCCCCATAAACCACCACCCCAGCCACAACATTAACGGCCATTAACGCCGTCATACAAATCCCACCGGTCAACGACGTCGTCAAGAAAACCATGCCAGCTGTACCCACAAAGCAAAACTGCCACACAATCAAATTCCCAACAATAGTCAACCAGTACCCCACCACCCCACCCCCACTATCGAACACCCCACTCTCCACCCTCATATCACCAAACCCGCCGTCCGCCGCCAACCCCACGGTGGCGAAAACCGTCGCCGCCGCCTCCATCACCAGCTGCATCTCCAGCACCATCGCGTAGCAGTAAACCCTCCTGTATATCGCCTCCATTATCGGAAGATACAAAGCGAACATCAACCCCGCACCCAGAGTCGAGAAGAACCCGATTAAATACTTCGACCGAGTCAACCCGGCCGGTTTATCGTGACTCGAACCGATCGCTAAAAGAACCGAACTCAACGTCAGAAGAATCACACAGTTGAGGTTTTTGAATGTGATTCTCTGCTTCACGATAATCACAGACAGAATCAGATTAAAAGCCAACTGAGAAGAAAGCAGCAGCGAAGAAGTCGACACCGGCAAATACGAATTCCCCCATGAAAATAGGAGATTGTTTACACCCAAGAAAACTCCGACAACCAACGACGGAATCAAAAGATTCGAGCTGAACCCAGAAAACGGTTTTCTTTCGGTGCATTTGAAAACATAATACGGGAGGTATACAGGAAGAAGAAGAACCGGAAAACCCGCAGATTGAACCCACGTGGAAACCCATCTGCTTGATCCTTTATGAATGAAGTAGAATTTCAGTATTAGGGTTGCAGAAACAGAACCCACGAACAGAAAAGCGTAGTTCATCGCTAGAAGAAGAGTGTAGTTTTTGATGGATTTGTGGTTGGTTGGTGGTGATTCATGCATGTTGTTTTCTGTGATCGTCACCAATGTAGCTGCATCTTCTTCTTCTCCGGTCGGCGGCGGCGGCGGTGGTGAAGGTGGAGATGGAGGTGGAGAAGGTTCAGCCATGGCGATTTTGGGATGAGAGAGAAAGAGGAGAGAGAAAGATGATGATATTATATGGATGATATTATATAATATTATATTTATTATATGTGTGAATAAGAGATGTAAGAGTGGGATTTTAATTTAAAGAGTGGTGGTTTTTCTTTTTCTTTTTCTTTTTATTTTTATTGTAAAGAAGAAGGAAACAAAAAGGTGGTTAGGTGTAGTCAATGTTCATGGGAACTTCATGAATCAAATATGGGATTATTTGCAAATTACTACTTTTTTATTTTTTAATTGTCATTTGGACCTCTAATTACTTTCTTCCACTCAAATTTTAGGATTTCAGCACAAAGAAAAGACTAAATTTGCAAGAAAAAACTTTTTAATTAAGGGACCAAATAGCTATTTTGAAAACTATTAAGGACTTTGTTGATGTAAAGCGAAAAAAGTTGGTGTGCATGCACGAGAAATACTAAAAGGAAAGGGCTTGCATGGCATTTAATGCAAAAGTAATAAAATAAATGAAAATTAATTAATTAATCAGTTTATAATTTATATTACTTTTAAAATATATATTGAAAAAGCAGTAGTTTTTAAGGCTTTTGTCACCTTTTTTTATGGCCTTTCTTCACTTTCCGGGCTATATATATACAGTTGATTTGTAATACCCACCCATGGTTTTTTTTTTTTTTTTTTTTATTATTTTTATTTTATAATTTGATTGTTAATATAAAAATTAGTTAAAATATAATTACACCATGACCATGTTATGAGAATCCAATATAAAAATTTATTAATATATCACAAAAGTTGGTCAATATGAGTTTTGTAAGGTAAATATAATTTTATTATTATAAAGATTATAAATTGTGAAAATCAGAGAATTATATATTAATAAAATTTGAGACTTGTTACCATCTATGAGCCCCTTTATGCAAATATATCATGACTTTATATAAATCTTGTTAATTAAATTTTATGTGATTAATAACTAAAAAAAAAAGGATAAATTTTTATGTGGGATAGTGGGATTGTAATAATTTGGGACCATAGTCTTAAATTTAAGCTTTTGATTTCATATACTAATTGGGGAATTCACTTAATGTAGGAAATAATAATTTAAAACAGTGCTGTTTTGCTTAAACATGGTCAATAAATTAATGAAATAACTACTATCTTTTAAGTAAAATTTGAATACATCAACCTCTGTGGAAATTAATCCAAACCTAAATTGGTACAAGATAAGGAAATAGGATATATGTGGACAAGCATAAAAGGGAATAATACTTAATTAATCAATATAATTAGTGGAATTTTTGGATATAACTCTATTTTCAAGAAATTAATTTTATAATTAATTTTAAAAAAATGGCATGAAAATCTGGAGGCCCATTGAAAGAAAACGTCCAATTGTCAAACCTCATAATTTGATCGGGCTACTAATTTATATATAGCCCAATTAGCTAGCTTATAAGTTGTATGCACACCTGATATGCCTAATTGGGTCAACTCAATGGGCCTACAATTTCCTTACATACTGGGTCACGAGCCCAATATCGAAGACCATTATCATCGAGGTCCAATCACCTTCAAGTAAGGTTTGGGCCCGACAATCTCAACTAAGCTATAAATAAATGTTTGAACTCATTCCTTAAGGCACGTCCTATTAACTGAGCAATACTATTAACTGTATTATCTGAACTATTTCTATGATCAGCACGTCTGACTTGAGCGTCCGGCTTAGCTTACGTGTTCTATGATCGCAGGTATCTCAAGGTCATCAAACTCGTGAGCCAGTGATCCACTATGCTCTTCCAGCTCATCATAATTCAACTCTATAAGGTGATCTAACTTTAGCATCATCATTTTGGCGCCGTCTGTGGGAAGGCAAACACAATCACGTAGCGCACATGATGGCCTTGAGACATCCGCTCAGGGGAGTGTGACACTGCTAACAACCTCCCACCACGTGGAGGCTCTGGCTTGTCACATCCTCCTCCCCATGCTCGGGATCCACTACGAGGCCTTTCTCGGATGTCCCACGAGATCCTGAACAGGATTCACTTCTTCCCGCCCCTCGATCGGTTCAAACAACCGAGGAGGCCCTTCAACGCTAGTAAGGGTTATCGACTCCCTGGGGGTATACAGTGCCCCCAAAACATTTCGCTCGCCAAGGGTTATCGACTCCCTGGGGGCTTACATCTGCCCCCAAAATCCTCGTTCGCCAAGGGTTATCGACTCCCTGGGGGTTATAGTGCCCCCGAAATATTTCGTTCGCCAAGGGTTATCGACTCCCTGGGGGCTTACCTGTGCCCCCAAAATATTTCGTTCGCCAAGGGTTATCGACTCCCTGGGGGCTTACTTCTGCCCCCAAAATATTTCGTTCGCCAAGGGTTATCGACTCCCTCGAGGCTTACTTCTGCCCCCAAAATATTTCGTTCGCCAAGGGTTATCGACTCCCTGGGACTTACCTTTGCTCCCAAAATATTTCGTTCGCCAAAGGTTATCGAC